ACACGTAGCTGGCCTCCTAGGAACCCATGGGGACCATCTCTGAAACTCGAGGAGCAACAGGCGTTCCTCAGGACGAGCTGGAGGGGGGCGAGGCGCCTGTGGCTTAGAACAGGCAGGACTTCTAAAACCCACCGAGGCCGGGGTTCCCAAGCTGAGGCTGCCGTCCTCAGAAGACACTGGTGTGGCAGAGGCCGGACACAGGGCCAGCATCAGCGCCCGGCCTTTCCACACCCAGCAACCAGATAACCCTCTCTCCACGCCTCAAGAGTCTGCACCTTGAGCCCGGATTTTAGCAAGTAGGTGTGGTGACTCTGGTTGGCCTTTGATGAATAAAAACCCAGGCTGAATTCATTTTATTTAACAAATGGGGTGGGTTAGATAAACAGATGTCTTCCCCAAAGAGAACAGGAAAGCAAACCTAGTAGGCTTTGATGGCGGAAAGGTCACAGTCACTGATCCAGCCCCCCAACACTGCACTCCACCAAGGAAAGTGAGCCCCCAGGGGAAAGAGCTTCATGGCAGGGGTCCCAGGGCCACCCGGTGGTCCCCTTCCCACCCCAAAAGGGGCTCTCCCCTCCCTGCACTCCCTGGCCTTCGTCCAGCTGCAAAGAGGGACTTGGGCAGGAGGCGGCTAGGRCAGGAAACAGCAGAGGCAGGAAGGAGGCCAGGAAGAGACGGACAAGACCCCGGCCAGCTCACACCCAGCCCTACCAACCTTCAGGAGAGCAAGGCCGAGTTTCCAAAAATATTTACAGTGAGTCTAAATTGATGAGGTCCTGTATCAGCGCTGACAATGGCAGGATGCGGAGCCGGGCCYTCCAGGGGAGGGGACCAGCGCAAGCACCCCAGGGGCTTCACAAGGCCCCTGGATCTCGGAAGGACGGCCTGGCCTGGCCGCTAAAGGAGGAAACGGGGCCCTTCACCCTGAGGCTCCCCCTCCCTGCAGACGGGAAAGTATCCTGGACTCGCAGATGCAAAAGGCATCTTCAACCTGCCCCGCCCCCAAGGCCAGTGCAGAAATCTCTGCTGCACCCTCTGTCTGAGGGCCATTGAGAGACCTCTTGAATACSTCTGTGGACAGGACGCTCACTCCTGCCCCTGAGGGTCCATGCCATCCCAGCCTGGGCACCCCTGCTCCGTCGACTGTGTTTCCTTCAGTAGAGTTGAATGGTCCCAAGCAGAAGGGCTGGAGTCGGGGACAGTGCTGCCACTTAGAAGTCACAGCCACAGGCAAGAAACGGGGTCATTTCAAGACTCAACTTTCTCTTCTGTAAGATGGGAGTCATGACAGTGTCTACCTCCTGGGTCTGCTGTTAGGAGTCCATGAGAGAGTGGGGGCACAGAGCCCAACATTCAAGGATGTCATGCGGGCAGAAAGAGGTGGTTCAAGCCGCAGAGATGAGAAAAGAAAGAGATTAAAATGCCGGAGGAAAAAAAAATTTTTTAAATAAAAAAAATAAAATGCCAGAGGGTTACAGTTTTCCAAGGCCAGAGAAATGAGCAATGGCCCTTCCACCACTAATAAAGAGCGGCTCGAGRTCTCCCCACATGTGGACGTGGGGCACTGGGACTGTGGCCAGGCACACAGACGTGAGCTGCACGTGTCAAATACTGGGTTTCAAGGACTTGGTGTGAAAAAAAAAGACCAAAAGTATCTCATTGGCATTTTTTCCTGTAGATTGCATGTCAAGATGCTGATATTTGGCCAGGCACGGTGGTGCACGCTTGTAATCCCAACGGCTTGGGAGGCTGAGGCAGGARCATTCYGAGTTCAAAACCAGCCTCAGCAAAAGTGAGGTGCTGAGCAACTTGGTGAGATCCTGCCTCTAAATAAAATACAAAATAGAGCTGGGGATGTGGCTCAGTGTCAATGACCCTGAGTTCGATCCCCAGTATTCACCCCAAAAAAATGCTTATATTTGGGGCTGGGGTTGTGACTCAGTTGTAGAGCACTTGCCTAGCACGTGTGAGGCACTGGGTTCAATCCTCAACACCACATTAAATAAATAAATGAGTAAATAAATAAATAAATAAAGGTATTGTGTCTGTCTACAAACTAAAAAATAACAAAAAATATGAATGCTAATATTTTGATATTTACACTGGTCTTGCAAATTATCCTTGCTAGGACAAATAAAACATGTTACTGATAAATAAAATATAATAAACATAAATGAGGCTAACTTGTTTCTTCTATTTTTTTTAAGGTAGTTACCAGAAAAATTAAGAGTATGTACATGGCCTGTGTAATATTCCTGTTTGACAGCAGTGAGCCAAAAAATCAGATCTAACCTTTAGGATGTTCACACTGGAGCATCTTTGAAGGGAGGTTGGAGTGAGGAGGCCCATTAGGAAAGGTGCAGTTTCAGGGGGTCAAGGTGGCACACACCTGTATTCCCAGCCACTCAGGAGGCTGAGGCAGGAGGATCTCAAGTTGAAGACCAGCCTCCGCAACTTAGTGAGACCTTGTCCCAAAATAAAAAATACAAAGGGGCTAGGGATGTAGCTCCATGGTAAAATAGCCCTGTGTTCAATCCCTAGTACAAAGAGAGGAGAGAGAGAGAGAGAGAGAGAGAGAGAGAGAGAGAGAGAGAGAGAGAGCGCTTTACAGGTAAAGTTCTGAATTAGGGAAAACTCAGGTTTAAATCTTCCCATCACAAATAGTTTGTGTTGAGGTAGAAGCAAAGAGAAGTAACTTCTCTTCTTCCTGAATGAGAGCCCACATAAACACAACTACCAGTAATAGATCAAGTTTATCACATCCCAATAGGTAAAGCTTATTATCAGGCTCTGTGGAAGCACACTTAGGGGCTGTGCATTCTTTCCCAGTCTAATTTTTTTAAAAAAATGTCTTAAAGTGACTCATGTTCTGATCCCCATTTTACAGATTGGTAAAGCAAGGTTCAGAGTTACATGGCTGGTTCAGGGTCAGGTGGCTTCTGAGAGACAGAGGGAGCTTGACTTTGGCTCCAGAGGCCTGAGACCTGTGCAGCCAGGAGGATCTTTCCCTGCACCCAGGTAGGACCTGCTGGTGCTTCACGGAGGGAGAGCATCCGTGGTACCTCACAGATGAGCCTGCTTTCTCCTCCACCTAGAGATGGTGAGGCCAAGTAGGGGGGGAGAAATTCCTCTAGGCTTAGATCTCCAACAATAGAAGGATAATATGCAAGACCAGTGGGCTTCGTAGACATAAATATCATGCCAGGAATCTTTACATAGCAATAATGATAGTAGTAAATAATAATAATGGCAATGGCTGATCCTTACTCTGTGCATACYCTGTGTCAACAGGCATGGTTTGTGAAGGATGGAGATTTAAAGAGTAAACTCTGGAGACCAAAAGGCCTGGTTTTAAATCCTGGAGGTGCTATTCCATCTCTCCAAGCGTCCGTTTCATCAATTGTAAAACAGGGGTAATAGTCTATAGCAGTTGTCAGAATTATGAGAGTCAATAAAAATTTAGGTTTCTTCCTGGCACAGGGAGAGTGTGCAGTAAACATTGCCTATTACAGTTATCTCCCTCTTTTTTTTTTCTTTAGACCCAGGCATTGAATCCAGGGTTGCTCAACCACTGAGCCACATCCTCAACCCCTCTTTTTTATTATTATTATTTATTTTGAGACAGGGTCTCACTAAGTTACTGAAGCTGGATTTGAATTTGCGATCTTCCTGCCTCAGCCTCCCCAGCCTCAGGTGTGCAGCACTGCACCAACCTAGTTATCTCATTTAATCCTCACTATAACACTAGGGGTAGGGAGGGTCAATAATGATATCCAGGAATATTGCTATTCCCAGTTTAGAGGTATAGAACTGAGGCACAAAAACCTTGCCTGAGTCCCATAGCTCCTAAATACTGGAGGTGAAATTCAACTGTAGGATAGCTACTCAGGGTCTGCAATCTTTTCTTTTCCTCTCCTCTCCTCTCCTCTCCTCTCCTCTCCTCTCTCTCTCTCTCTCTCTCTCTCTCTCTCTCTTTTGGTGGGAGGTACTAGGGATTGAAACTCAAGGGCACTCCACCACTGAGCCACATCCCCAGTCCTTTTTATGCTTTATTTGAGAGACAGGGTCTCACTGAGTTGCTTAGCACCTCGCTTCTGCTGAAGCTGGCTTTGAACTCACAATCCTCCTGCCTCAGCCTCCCCAGCCGCTGGGATTACAGGCATGTGCCACCAAGCCCAGCAGGGTCTGCAATCTTGAAACACTATGCCTATGTGGGTCAGGATCTCAAACAATATGTAAAGTTGTACTTTTTTCTTTTTTTTTTTCCTAAGGGTACTTTCCATCTTCAATTCTTCCTGCATGAAAAGTGCCTTCTCCGCCTGGCCAAGAATTTGAATACAGCCAGTGAGAGCACAGAGAGGTAGCAGCCCCTGGATGCTGCAGGGTTCTGCTGATAAATTGCCCACCGGCCCCTAGGGGAACATAGGAATCATGGGTACCCACTAGCAATCCACCTTGCCAAGAAGACATGATGCTGGCACTACAGCATCTCCCACTCTTGCAGCTGCTCGTAATCTAGGGGTTGTTGGGGAGATGGTAATAAGCTGGACCTGGGTAGGCCATGCTGGAGCACCCAGCTGCCTCCCAGGCAGGCTGATTGTGAGCAGTGCCTCTGGCGGCTTGGTGATGCTGACCTCTAGTGGACATGTCTGGTACTCAGCCTTGACTTTCCCTGAGCCTCCCCATTTCCAGCCCCGGCTTCTAGAACTGCCTCAGGGGTACAGACCCAGCAGGCTGCGTGAGTCCCCAGCTCTTCCCTTGTCCTGGGCTTCCATGGCCTCTGGAATTGACAACCCCAAAGTCTCAAGGCTTTGGGACTGGAGAGGACCCCTTACCAAAGGAGACTTACCCAAAATCAAATCAGCTGATGATTCTGAGGCTGATCAAGTTCCAGAACCCAGTACAGATCCCCAGTCTCCTGGAGAATCAAGCCCTTGATCCCTCCGCCCCTTTCAATGTTTTGAGCTACATATTCTCTCCTGAAATGTGGTTATCCTGCACTGTAATAACACAATTTCATATTATGACATGATACAGGGGAAGCAATGCTCCTCTTTCTATTTTCTCTTTGGGTGGTGCAGGAGTAAAACCAGGAGACGCTGAATCATCTTCAATATTATTCATGACTCTTCCTCCAGCATGTCACTCTGCAAAGACAACACACAAAAGGGAAAATGTAGCTCTATTTTATTAAGGAAAAGCATGGATTATAAAGAGACTAAGAAATTGTCTTAATTAACTGACAACTGGTAAGAAGAGAGTTGATAGGCAGGTCCCTGGAGGCAAGAATCTCATTGCTGAGCACCTGGCGCCACCTTGTGGTTGCTCGCAGGACAACAAACTCAGCCTCCACTCATCCATTGGAGATTTCCGGGGCATTTCCCCTGTGCCCTTTCACCTCTGTCCCTCCCCTAAGTCCCTTATCGGAACCTTTTATCTCATTGAACTTTGTGCTGAAATCCTTTGTACTACATTTGCTAATTTGAGCATAAAAAAGGTGCAGACACAGCTGAGTTGGCCCAAGCAAGATGTCTGATGGAGATATTCTTTTTTTTTTTTTTTTTTTAATTGGTCGTTCATAACATTACATAGTTCTTAATACATCATATTACACGGTTTGATTCAAGTGGATTATGAACTCCCGCTTTTACCCCGTATACAAATTGCTGTATCACATCAGTTGAGATATTCTTTATCAATGACCGCCCCCAACCTATTCCAGTCTCTACCCTGGGATCCTGAAAATAAATAAATGCTCCATAGAAATTTAGCTAAACTTACTTCTTAAAGTGTGCATGCCTTTTCTCTTTCTATTTTTCTTTCATTGGAAATATATTTTCTTATTTCTCTGGCACCCACCACTCGGATGAGACAGATGAACTTCAGCCCAGGGAAGTGGGAGGACACTGCTAATCAGTGACCGAGCCAGAGCTGGAGTTCCAGGCACCTGCGACTTACTCAACCAATGTCCACTGAGTTGCTCCTCTGTTAGAGACCTGGCACTCAGCCCAATGGTGGGGGAAAACACCACCAAGACTCTGCCCTCAAGAGATTGACAGGCTGGTGGGGAGAGACGTCTGCTGAYGAATGACATTAACGGTACAGGGCAGGTGTGGAAAGAGTCACCAGGCTAGAGTTATAGCCACCATCAGAGAAGTCTGACTTTGAGAGGCAGAAGTCCTAAAAAATTTATGAACCTCTCTGAGAGCCGGGGCGGGTGGGGGGGGTGGTTTCATTCAGTGAAATAAATCAGGCAGAGAAAGACAAATACCAGAGACTCTCCCTGAAATGTCAAAACTAATGCAGTTGACGCCGTAGAAGTCGAGTGCATCGTGGGGACAGGGGACAGGGTCCAGTAAGAGAGCCCTGCTTGGATTAGATCCCAGTACTGAAAAAGGCAGAGAGGAACAGAAGTTACCAGAGGCTGAGAAAGCAGGAGGGGTGGGAGAGGATGGTCATTGGCTATCGGGGCTCATTGGACAGAGGAATGGTTTCTCACGCACAGCAGTGACCGTGGCTGGCAACCACGAATCTTATATTTCAAAACAGCTAGTAGGACTTGGAGTGTTCCGGGTACACATCCATGACAGATATACCAGTTAGTCTGGTCTGATCATTACACATGGTATGGGCACTGAACCCATAAACATGCATCATTACTCCATGCCCATGAAAAATAAAATGTATTTTAATATTTTAAATCATAACATAAAACACATATTTTTAAAAATCAAATAGCGTATTACGAAAAAAATTAGGAGTGACTCTGGTTCATGAATGTCTGAAATACATCATCTGCCCACCACGGACCCCAGAACTGGACACATACATAACGGAGGTTTGACATCATCCGGGAAATTTGGAAAGATTTTCCTGGGGGAAATGGCAGCTGTGCTGAGAGCTGCAGGATGAGGAGGCAGGTGAGTGAAAAGGAGGACCCAAAAAATGACCACCGCAAGCACTGGGAAAAGAATATGTGCAAAGATCCTGTGGCAACTTGGAGCTTGAAGAGGTGGAGTCTCAAAGAAGGCAGGTGAGTCTGAAATTAGAGAACAATAGGGACTTTGTTCAAAAAGGAGATTAGGGGCCAAACCACACAGATTTATGAGCCACCTTGAGGAGGTCGGTCTTTATCCTCCAAGGAACGGGAAAGCGATGGAAGGGTTTTAATTAGCAGGGTGGGGTGGCACGATCCAGGTGGTATGACAGAAAAGCCACCCTGGCTGTGTGTGGAGAATGGACAGGAAGAAGGACAAGAATCCACCTGGGAGACACTAATCCCCACGAGAGCTGATAGGAGCTTGGATTAAGAACACAGGAGTCCAAGTGGGAGAAGCAAATAGATGAAGAGATACTTAGGACTGGATGCGGGAAAGGGAGCTGTCGGGGTGTCTCTTAGGTTTCCTGTTTGCTAGAAGGAAATGAATGGGGTGGCATTCATGGAAACAGGGTGTGGCAGAACGGGTAAGGGAACACCAGCGTCCTCTCCTCTTTCCCGAAGCCACTGTGTCAGAGTCCTCTTACTCACTCACCTGCCCGGGCTCGGCCGCCCTGCAGCAGCACAGGGTGACGGCTCCACCCTCCGGCCCCTGCCCTCCCCTTGTAGCCTGGCACCATGCTCTTGCATACAGACTCAGAAAGGCAAAAGGAACAGGGAACACATTTTTGTCCAGGGATTGACAGCAGCCAGTGGAGAAACCCTCTCCACAGCTTCTTGGTGTCTTTGTCCTGTAGATTGGCGATTCGGGACGCACCCTGGTGTTGGGTCCCTCTCCTTCCTTCTTCACTCTCAGGGTGTGTTTCTCCTAGGCACAAACCACGGCTCCGGGCTCTGCTTGCCAGGAACCCAGGCTAAGGCAGTAATAGAACTGTCAATTTTAGCCAGGGGCATGGTTACCCCACCGTGCCAACAGGAGATGACTGTGTCACGAAGTGCTTCTGCTGGGTCTTGTCCTTTTAAAAAGGGAAAAGGCTGGCTCAGGAGGCTGAGGCAGGAGGATCGCAAGTTCAAAGCCAGCCTTAGCCACTTAGCAAGGCCCTAAGCAACTTAGCAAGACCCTGTCTCTAAATAAAATATAAAAAAGAGCTGGGGATGTGGCTCAGTGGTTAAGCACCCCTGGGTTTAATCCCCAGTACCAAAAAAAAAAAAAAAAAAAAGGGCAATTGCTTACCTTCACCTCCTGTCTTTCCCTTTTCCAACAGATGGAATGCGGAGGTGGGCTGGTCAGCCAGCATTGATCAGCTTGATATGAGCCTGGAAGTCAGAGGGCAGGTCCAGGCTGAACGTGGAAGACGGTGGAATCACACCCCTCACGTAGGACTGGTCACAAAAGCCTGGGTGCATCTGACCTGGTCCAGGCAGAGGATGGTGACAGGAGAAGGTGCCTGTGGGAACAGCTTCCAGGGTGGTCCCGGGGATCCTGCCTCCTATGGGTCATGTTCTTGTGCAGTCTTCTCCCCTCGAGTGCTGGCCAGACCTAGCCAATGGCAAAAGTGATGAGATGTCACTTCCAAAATTAGGGGACATGAAGAGTGGCTTCCATGCTGGGTGTCCTTTCTCTCCACCACCTGCTCTGAGGGAAGTCAATGTCCACACTGTGAACTTCCCTGTGGGTAGACCTTTGTGGCAAGGACCTGAGGGAGGCCTCTAGACAGTAGCCAGTGAGGACCTGAAGCCCTTAGTCCGACATCCTGGTAAGAAATGACTCCGGCCAACAGCCCCGTGTGGAGCAGCCCCAGTCGAGCCTTCAGATGATCCCTGCCCCAGCGGACACCGCAGTCGCAGCCTTGTGAGACTCTGAGCCAGAGACTCCTGGCCAAGTCACTGCCAGGTTCCTGACCCGGAAAACCCAAGACCATAAGCACTTCTCAATGATGCATTTGGGAACGATGTTTCTCTGTAGAGAAGCAGAGCCCACGCTGTCGCCTGAAGGACGCCCTCCTCTGAAGACTGGTAGAGAAAAAGGAGCCTAAGGAAAGGTAGCTAACACACACAGGGGCAGTGCAGGTGGACGGCAAGTTGGACCCCAGGGAGGAATAAGGAGGGCATGGACCAGGGTGGTGGCTACTGCAGACAGAGTAACTAAATATGAGGAGAGTGCCTGGTGGACATGGGGACATGGACGTCACTGGTGACCTTAGGTTACGAGTTGATATCTCAGGACGGACGGATGAGCCTGAGCTGGTGACTGATGACCATTTAAATGATTAGGAGAAAGTCTAAAATACAGAATTTTTATTAGAACTTTCACAGTGAAAAAAAAAAACAAAACCAGTCACTATAGGAGAATAGGAATGTTTTTAATTGAGCTTGTTTAAAAGCCAGTAGGGACTTTTGAGGGGACAACATGAAGAACTCAGAGATCTGCTCCCCAAGAAACAGCCACAACCAAAGAAAACCCTTAAACCCCTCAAGTAAGGTCATTAAGGTCAAATAGCAGATGAAACATTTATTCAAGAACTGAATCTCAGGAAGAACAGCAACCCACTGGGAATGGGAGCTCCCTCCTCCTCCTCCTCTTCCTCCTCCCCCTCCTCCTCCTCCCTCCTCCTCCTCCCCCTCCTCCTCCTCCCCCTCCT